TAATTTGCATAGAGAAACTTAAAACATATTCTGTTGCGCTCTGGGTTATTTAATAAGGCAGTAAAAAGAGCATCACCATGCATGAACCTATAGCAACCACAGACATAATTGACAAGTTACTTTTATATAGCCAAAACCACATCCTACAGGATCTAGGATGTCTCCTGCCATCAGTGTGGTGCTGTTCACTAATTCATACCTTGTCTGATCATAGTGGTGCCAGGCACAATGAGATACAAGCTGCATCCATGACATCCTTTTTATAGTGCTCTGCATTGCATAATGTGATGTGTAATGATGATGAGAAGCAAGGGAAGCCAGGGATGGAAGAGGGAGCTGTGCTGATTAAAGGACTTAGGCATGGTCCCCATTGCGGTGTGCCTGTGCAATGAGACCCCACAGCTCTTTTTCCCCCCACAGCTATGTTTAACAGTTTGCTTGGTGGTGCACGTTGTATGTTGCTAGATGCCTCTCCTCTCCTGCATGTGCATAGAACAGCATCTTACAGATGCAGAGAATGGTCCCAGAATGTACACTGCACAAAAAGTTACTAGGAGCAAGAGGAAAGAGTTTTTTTGGCAGGCTCAATATACAAAGTATTTTCTACCACAAGGCACAACCTCCTAGCAGTTTTGTTTGTTTGTAGAGTTTAGTTCTACTTTATTATACAGTATATCATTGTATACTTGAATGACCAAAGTGTACTATAATCATTTCTCTGAAGAGTGCGGGGCATAGATATCCCCGTTTGAAGCAGTCTCCATAATATTAGAACTGATATGTTCGTACAGTTTTGATACGTAAAAGTTAAATAGATTTGGAAGTCTTGTGAGTTAGACAAGCAATGAAGTAGCCATATTGGAAAATATATAAACCATGTCTCAATGATAGGGCCATCGAACAGAAAAAAATGTCAACATGACTTTAGCTATAGTAAGTAAAGCCTAGGGGTAATCAACAAAACCGACAAGTGATCTTCCTGAGTTTATTTGTTAAAGTGACACTAAACTCAGGAATTAAATCTTAAAAATACATTCAAGAACCTTAACTATTATTAACAAAAATTTATCTTATTTGTGCATCACCCAGCTGTAGATTCTGAAATCATCTCTGAATTGGTGCTGACACTGTCCTTCCTTCTGGAGGGTGGCTACTTTTGTTCCCCATGGAGTCTGTGTGTTGTAACGTAGTCACCGCTCCAAACTCACTCCTGTGATGGACTGCAATCTCAATACAAATTAGTAAACTAAACGTGAGATTGAAGTCCATCGTTGGAGCGGTGGGTACTTTACAAAACACACAGGGACCATGGGGAACAAAAGTAGCCACCCTCCAGAAGCAAGGATAGTGTCAGCATGAATTCAGAGACGATTTGAGGATCTACAGCCGAGTGAAAGACAAATAAGTTACATTTTTGTTAATAGGGTACTTGAATGCATTTTTAAGATTTAACTGCTGTGTTTAGTGTCACTTTAATGCAATATACAATTCAGTGTTTTTTAAATGTTATACTATGGCAAATTTTTACTAATTTACATTTTTCTAGCTCTTTGAGCTGTTACTGATCAAAGAAATTGCCATTTTATGAATTGTAAATATAATATGATGATTTTTACCAAACCATGATTATGTCAGAAGTCGGTATGCTTTTTTTTTCTGATGTGCAAGTGGTGCAGTACCATTTTTTTGTTGTGGTTTATATGGCATTAATAAGTAATCAATGTTTTTTTGTAATGGTGATTGAATTAAAACTTTATAGACTACTTAAGTTCATTCTTTGCTTTGAAAATATAAGAGAAAAGCCTTTTACTGATTTCTGTCTGTTCTGTATAGGTGCCCTTTAGGGAAAATACTTTTTTTTTCCGGTGGCAGACTTTGCTCCTCATAGAGTCTAATAGGTTTTGTCATTGCACAATTGACAATACTGAAAGATGTGTTGCATTCTTGTGCTAAAGGAAGCTGAATGATGAGGAGTCTTTGTGACGAGGGCTTGATATTTTATTTAGGTGAGTTCATGCCATTTTCACCAAGCAGTAGTCATTTTGTTGAGCTCATAAAGTACTTTCTCATTTATAATCCCATTTTTAGCATATACAGCATGTAAAGGCAGAAAATTCCATTATAATAAACTTTTAGCTCCATACCCACTGTCACGGCCGCTCTCCACCAATTTTATCCCCCTGGAAAAAGTCCCTTGTTTTGATGATGCAACTATGCCAGAAAGTGCTGCTTTGCACAAGATGCAGGGGTGAGATTTGTATTTTTACCATGGGTTTGCTTCAAATATTTTTTTCTTATACTTGTACTTTTTTTACATTTCCCATTGAGCCTGCCTGGAATGTTTAAAGTCCATCTCCAATGTCCATCTCCAGGCAAATGTCAACCTCCACACTCATATCTCCTTCCCACCCATGTACAACAAAGAAGTTTCTTGCATTGGGAGACATCTCTATAAAAAGTCCATGGAGATCGACTGAGAGTGAGACTTGCGGAATTTTGCAGAAAAATGTGTACATTGCTGTTGGCAGAGGCAGCAGGATTGAGGAAACTAGAGGCAGCAGCATTGAGTAAACTTTAGGTCAGGGGGGAAGCACAGAGGATAAGTGCATTTTTCTGAAAGTTGCAAGCCCCTCTAATATCAGTTATCTGGGAAAATGTGGCTAGTCAGGATTTCTCATTTAAAGTACACCTACCTTAAAAAAAAATATTGAAGCTATCTTTACTCACTGAAAATGTTGATTGCCTGGTTGTGTTTGGTGCATGTGTATTTTGGTGCAATGGCTAGGTGCATTGGGGTTTCCATTCACTGCACCAATATAAAAAAAATATCTGGTTCACAAATATCAACACCGAACTTATATTTTGATGTCCATTTGCAGCTCTTTCACCCACTCCTGGATTACCAGATGATAATAATAATAATAATACTCTAGCAGTTGCACTTTCAATTACTCACAAATACCCATCAGATTAACGCTTATGTTACAGCCTCATAATCATACCTTACCTTCCACAGGTAAGGTAGCAACAGCAATCACCCTGTGCTATTCTTCCTTCTCCTAGCTCTTTAGTCACTCTTTAACTCCACAGCAGCACATATCAACATGATTATAGTTTCAGTTCAGCTGGGACTTTCCAACTCTCCTCCAGTATATTGGTCAGGAACTTGATACACAGTCACAGGGACGTCCCAGCAATGTGTTTGACTTTCTTAAAAGAAACCTATTATGAGAAAAAAATCTAGGCTGCCTTTGCTGGTTTTCCTTTTGAAGATACTAGGTGACTTCTTGTCAGTTTAGTCCATTGGCTTGATTCATTTCTGAGTTACTGACCAAAACATATGCAGATAAGGAGTTAACTCTGATTCACCTTGTTATGTAATTGTCCTGGGTTAATGGTTCAAAGAATTATTTAAGCCACACACTGCAAGGCAACTGGCATTTTTACATAGGTGTTGCCAATGGCAGCATTCTTATTTCTCTAAGTATTGGTTTTCTTTAAAGTCAAATGCAACATTGTATCACGTGAGCCATGTATTTCATGACCTGGTACCATTTGATGGCGGTTTTTAATTTTTGCCTGGACCTCCGTCTTTAGGTGAGGCAGTAAAATGAAAGGTCCACTCTAATTGTCTGGGTCCCATTTCCCTTTACAAGTCGCTTACTGTTAGTAGGTATAAAATGTACCTGGAAAAAAAAGTTAAGAGTTATACTAACCCCACCCCGACTGGCATAGTAGATGTTCCAGGCAGGCAAAAATGATGGACCAAAAATGCTCAGCAAACACAACAAACCATATTTTTCCACATCACAATCAGAGAAGTAATAGTCATCTCATTGAAGGTTAGAATAACGTGCTAAACCACACCATATAATCACCTGAATGCCAAGACACACCAGTACTCACAGCACTTCCAGGTATGCGTGATGATGCCAACACCTACCTGTCCACCCGTCGTGTTTTACCATAGACTTCTTCAGGAATGGAACAAGATCTCTATTATTGACTGTGGTGTATTAATAATTGAGCTATATCTGCCTCCTATATGTGAAATGGTCCACCATACCTGGTGTGTGTATTGGGGGAAGCAGATCACAAAGGAGGGGTTCGCAACAGCATACATTTATTAAATTAACGTATAGCGTATGTGTACATGTATTTCTGAAGAAATATTGATCAGACTTTAGATCAGTCTGGCAAAAATGCAGAAAACTATCAATTGTCAACCAATTTGACAACCAACTGTCAACAAATGTTTCACCCATAGTTTTATGGGGGTGAAATAAAAATTGTGATAGTTGATAAGGCACTATAGAAATTTTTTTTTGTTATTGTCGTTTCCTCCATTTTCATGGTTTATCCCCTTGCAGCCCCCTACAGTATGTATGTAATATTGTTTTTATAAGTGCAGTGCAATTTTGATACATTATTTTGTATAAGTGGGTTTATCACTTTAGCACAGCTGCTATTAAGGAATAGTAATGGGTATTTGTAGTTAAGGGCGTGGGCAGTATTGGTTCGTTTAGTCAATAAAATTCATCACTTTGACAGCTAAAATATATGCACAGTGAGCTTGTTGCTAGTGGGGCTGGTAAACCTAGTGCCGTTTTACCAAAGCACAGTGATGAGCCATATTACCACTACTATTAGGCTTAGCCGATCAGTTTTTGTTCATTAATTCTTCATGGTACACATAACTAGGGAGTAGTAGTGGTGTGCTTTTTGCCTGCTTACTTTTTATATTTTACTGTATCCCTCTGTCACATGTCAGAACGCTGGGGAAGTTTAATAAAACAATAGTTAAAAGCTCAAATATATAGGAACATGAAACTATGTAATGTAAACATGACAGGCTCGACAAGAAAACATCTTTTTCCCCACAGTGCAATGTGATCATCTGGAAAATGAAAATTAATTTTGTGATCATATTTTTTTTATATGCATTACTACCATAATTACCGTGCTGTTATGTAGTTCAATACTTTTTACTTTTTTTTTAGGGGTTTGTTTGTATAGACACAAAGATCTACTTCACCGTCCGGCACACACAGCAACAAAGACATTTCAAGCCCTTCGGATCTTTGTAAACAATGAACTTAATGAACTTTACACAGGGCTTCAGACAGCTCAGAAGTTTCTAAAAACTGGTGGAAGGCTTGTTGTCATTTCTTTTCATTCCTTAGAAGACCGAATAGTCAAGAGATTCCTGCATGGAATACACATGGATGAAAAACCTAATATGAGTTCTAGACAGTGGATTAGAACAGGACAGACGGAAGTCACAGAGATGGATGAGGATGAAGAATTTCCAAGTCCAGGGCCTAACTCTGCATGGAATGTTTTACAACGTAAAGTTCTCTTACCAAATTCTCAAGATGTCATTGAAAATCCACGGGGAAGGTCTGCCAAACTGAGAGCTGCCACTAAGATATAATAATATATTTCTTTGTATAAAATAGGTAATGGTCATGTAATTGAATATATTTGTTATACATTTGTATTTTACTTTTTGATGAAAATTGTATTGAGTGCTATATAGTACAGTTTTAGAGAATGTAATTATAATTTGCCTAACTTTGTGGACCTTCTGATTGATTCCCAGCCATATTTCACCACATTCACATACATATTTATTTAAAGGATAATTCCACTTTCCCAGGGGAATTTGAGAAAATTGAATTACCCCCACTTATCTGCTCCTTTTTCTGCCTCCCCCCCCCCCCACTGGGTTTGAGCAAAAGGTAATTCCTCATGGTAGGGGTAATTACATTTTCTCAACTTCGCCTAGGAAAGTAGAATAACCCTTTGAAGAGTGCATACATAACTTATATGGCATCCCTGTTACACTGTGTACATAGCCTGATGCACAGAAAATGGAGTAGTCTGCAAAGAGCTCTGAACTTTGCCCTACTGAACACATCTGGGGTGAACGTGAACACTGAGCCAGGCCCTCTCATCTTCATTACATGATGTTGCAAACGTTCTTTGCTGAATGGGTATAAATTGCTACAGGCACATTTCAAAATCTTGTTGAAAGTATTTCCAGGAAAGGTTATTATAGCTGTCAAAGGGGTTCAACTCCATATTAACACATTAAAAAGATAACATTAATATGGGACTTTAAGGGTACCTGCATTATATTCAAAGACATCTTAACAAAGACTACTAAAAAATCCAAAGTCTGTTATTCACATTGAAACATTATTATAATCCTATTCAACAAGGTTAGGTACCAGTGCAAAGGTTCTCTTCTTTCTTCTCTTTGGTTCTCCAGGAGATAGATAGGAGGTAGTAAATATATATGATCATAATAATACATAATAACATAATGATCACACTAGCAGGTTCAATTTGTCAGGTAATTTATCCAGTATTGTCTTATATGTAAGTAAAAGAGCTATAGGGGAAATAAAAGCCTTCAAGGACCAACATGATTAACCTATCTTATATAGCGATGCGTAATGAGTTGCACCACAACTAGAGGGCCAGAGTTTGCCTGCCCCAATGAAAGTTATAGAGCAGGGGTGCCCACAAGGTCGATCGCGATCTACCAGTCGATCGCGTAGCGATCACTGGTAGATCGCCATGTCCTCTACCCCCACCGCCGCTTCTCTGGATCCCCGCTGCTCTCCCAACGGGGATCCGAGAAGAAGTGAAGGAACCGGTGGCGGGGGAGGGCGGAGAACGGAGCCGCTGTCACAGAACTAATGCAGAGCGGTGAGGAGAGAGAGAGAGAGACGCTCGGCCAGGATCTGACAGCCGGCGCCTCTCTCTCCCCTCAATGCTCGTCCGTTCTGTCACAGCGGCTCCGCCC